TCATGAATTGTTTTAGCAAGGCCTGCCAAGCCTTTGGATTGATAATCAGCCTGAAGAAAACACAAGTCATGGGCCAGGGTGTGGACTCACCTCTCTCTATTATCATCTACATACTAGAATTGGAAGTTGTTCATGACTCTCTCTCTCTAGATGTCGAGCTGGATAAATGCATTGGCAAGCAGCTACCATGTTATCCAGTCTCACAAAGAAAGTATGGCTTAATAAGAAGCTGATGGCATATACCAAGATCTAGGTCTATAGAGCCTGTGTCCTGAGCACACTCCTGTACTGCAGTGAGTCCTGGATCCTTTGTGCACGGCAGGAGAGGAAGCTGAACACCTTCCATATACGTTGTCTCCAGTGCATTTTTTTGTATCACGTGGCAGGACAAAGTTCCAAATAGAGTAGTCCTAGAATGAGCTGGAATTGTTAGCATGAATACATTACTGAAACAGTGATGTCTACATTGGGTTGGGTATGTTGATGTTGTGAGAATGGCTGATGGTCGGATTCCAAAAGATCTCCTGTATGGAGAATTAGTGCAGGGAAATCACCCCAGAGGGAGACCATAGCTGCGATACAAGGATATCTGCAAGTGGGATCTGAAGGCCTTAGGAGTGGACCTCAACAGATGGGAAACCTTGACATCTGAGCGTTCAGCCTGGAGGCAGGTGGTGCAGCATGGCCTCTCCCATTTTGAAGAGACCCTTGTCCAGCAGGCAAAGAGGCAATTCTGAAAGCAGCAAAATCAGGGAGCTGGACAGGGGACAGACTGTATTTGTCTTCAGTGTGGGAGGGATTGTCACTCTTGAATTGGCCTCCTCAGCCACACTAGATAGTGTTCCAAGATAGTGTTCAGAGCATGTTACCATAGTCTCTTGCGACTGAAGGATGCCTAAACTAAATCTTTGTAAGATTTAATTTAGGGATACAAATAAGATTCTCCAAATCCTTAGCTAGACATTGATGTCATGTGAAGGGATCTAAGAACATTAGGTAGTTAATGGAGCCATACAGAAATGTGTGGTGGACACTTTTAAAGTAAGACATGTAAGCTTGCCACTACTGCTTATTGGATTGAAGAAATAAATATACTTGAATATTTGTGAAAACTTTTATTTGTATGATTTCATGTAGCACTAAAGGAGGCCTTAAATACAGGATAAAAATCAATCAAACAAATAAAGAAACAAACAAACAATATAGAAAGACAGACAATGAATTGGGCTGTTGCATAATACTGTATCTACTGCTGCACGCTTACGCAGCAATAATTCAACATTTCTCTAAAAGCAGACAGTACTAAAGCTGATCCCATCCTCCTTTTTAGTTTCAACCAATATTTAAGGGGATGTATATATAGCCTGCTTCCAGCTGGAGAATAGAAGTCTTGATTCCTTTAGGAAGGCCTAAGATAGCTCGTAAATATTTGTTCAGCAGAAGAGAGCATTTTCTATATTTTTAGTCTAGAAGGTATACAGCTCTGTGAAAATAGTAGTGAATGAAAGGTTCATAGGCTCTTGAAGTAGTTTAGTAATAATTATGTTCTAACAAGTTGATTCCAAGTTACAGCAACTGTTTCCAAAGCTTTCTGAATATAAAATACTATATATATACTTACCATTCTCTCCTTCTGATGCTGCTCTAGGTCTCTGCAACTTGTCCAAGTCTACATTGGCTGGCTCTTCTCCTGGAAGGCACAGTGGGGAATCAAATTCCCAACTCAATGAGCTATTCAGTTCTGTATGTTAAAATACATATATAAACAACACGCGGAGATTGAAATGCCAGCCCAGATTCTTATTCCTGCTTGACTCGAAGTGACTTAAAGTATAGATTCTTGAAAAGCCAAAATACACTATAATGATTCATATGTGTATGGACAATATAACATGACAAACTAAAGGTATCAATCATGTAAATTTTGGATCATCTTTTAAATTATGCACCTCCCAATCTATGATGCTCGTTTGAACCGTACGTCATGTGAGTTCCAATATACTGAAACACCAAAAGTGTCAAAAACTTTGATGTTTCAATATATTGGAACTCACATGACTTACGATTCAAAGAAGCATCATAGATCAGGAGGCCCATCGTTTATTCAGTCTCTCTCTCTCTCTCTCTCTCTCTCTCCTCTCTGTATATGCTCTTGTTTCCCCTCCCCCCACTCATTAATTTCGTTAACAGACTAAGGATGTGATGAGATGGCAATATAACATTTTATATAAAAGTGTTATATATAAATTTTAATCAGTTTTTTCTATGAACGTAGTATGACTCAATATATTGCCAATATATACTTTCTCTTTCCTAGGCATGACTCATTTGTCAGCACAATATATGTTTGAGAGAGTCGGCAATTAAAGGACTGCAGGATTGTGAGCGGAAGTGAAGTTTCTTCCTGTTTCAGGAGAGATGCCTGAGGTAAGTGAGCTACGGGTTCTTAAATCTTACCACAAGCCTTCCGTTAGAAGACCTACATTTAAAAATAGAAGGGATAGAAACTAGAAGGGATAGAAACCATTGTGATATTGTAGATACACCCTTTAATTAAAACTTCTCTTTTCCTGTTTAGTAATCTTGAAAGTTTCACTGAGTCCTAATTGATTGGCAGATCTTCTTGCCCGATGAAATTTTAAATTAAACCTCAAGTAACCATAGAAAATGATTTTCCTACACATCTACAGTAGAGGACACAGGCATAGAAAAAGGCAGGGTCCACTCTAACCTGCACATTTGCCTAGATATGGAATGGGTGCTGTACTTTGGAAAAAGGATATAATGTAAATCTAATAAATGAATATATTCCCTCCAATCAGTACCTCTTTGTCAATCAAGTTGTTTATGGTGCACTTCACTGTTGCCATAAAAGAATTTGCTATATTGTACATTCCCCTTTTTAAAATCTCTGCTTCAGCAACATTTTTTCTTATAGCTGAATATTAGACATACTTCCCATTTCCCCCTCAAACCTCTCTGGGTTTAGCCATTCTTATTTACACAGTCCTGGTGGAGGACAGTCCCTGCTTTGATTCTACGACTCTTAAGGGTAGTATTTCTGGAATTTATAAAGATTTATAAATTATGTAGTGAATGGAAGGGACAGACATCTGCTGCAAGAGGAAACCGCATTAATGACGTTTCAGAAATTACATAAAGAATGGATGCTATTAAAAATTGAACAGTGGTCAAAACAGAATGCAAGTAATAGTCAACCCACTGAATAATGATGCAGTGGAATGATGGCGGTCTAGTCATTGCTGCTTGATACCCACCATCCACCTCTAGGCAACTTTAGACACAAATCATATTAAACAACTGTTCAGCTTTATGTGCCTGCATGCACATTTGTTTGTAGCTGCCACCTAATGATTACCGATAGCTGGATTCCTTTAGTTCGTGGCAAAGGGGATAAAAAGCAGGAAGTAATATAGAAGAAAGGCTTTTGACTAGTAGTCAATCAGTCAAATAGGGGCTGAAATAAGGAGAAAGCTGCAGTTGGTGAAACCTTGTCTTGTATGCATTGCTTAGAGGTAACTAGCTTACCAACACAAGCTGTGTAGAACCCATTTGTGTTTCAATAACGCAAAGATTTCAAATTTAAATACACTGGATAATTGTCTTTCGATTGTATGCTAATTTGTTTTGCTTTATAATTATGCCCATTATATATCAGGCTATAGATTTAAGAGGTGTGGATGATTTGGAAAGGGGTGATTGTGGCCTTGTCATTGGCTAGAATGACTAGAATGTATTTTCCAGTGAAAGAAGATACTAACCCCCCCACCCCCCACCCCCACTGTCATTATTATCCTCTGATAACTAGAAATGGCAGGAAGCAAAGCTTTTAGAAATGTTGTGTGGCTAATAGAGAAGGCTGTTAGGTCATATATGGGTGGAAGGTGTACTTCAAATAGTTTGGTTTTGGGGGAAATTGCTTAGAGACCTGTTGCTCAAGGCTGTTTAGTTTTTTCAGGCCTTTTCATTTTTAATTGCCATAGTCAGTTTTCAGTTTCAGTGTCTCCCCACTAAAACACACATGATGTTAATTCCATCAAGTCTATAAAGATGCTGACCTGGATCCTGAGGCATTTTGATGAAGCAATAACTACCCTGGCTTCTCATCTCTGAGAAGAGGAAAAAGAAAATCCCTTTCATACTCAAGTAATGTAACAAACCAACAAACAATTTTTTTCACAACTGGAAGACCTTGTGAAACTTTTGGCCATTAGTCTTATATGACACTGTATGGTAGCATATTGGTTTAATGTTCACCACTGTTCAAAGTACAAAGCAGGATATGTTACAATTAATGCTCTATCCCCCCATTGCTGTTCATGAAAAACATTCATTTTCAAGACCAAGCAGTTTTTGTGATTGATGTGTAAGATGGTACGTTTGAGGTACATATTTAATAATGGGGCACTGTGGTAAGTAGAGCATGTTTTACGTCCACATTAGCTATCGTGATAATAAGCATGTAGCCACTGCGGAAGACAGCAACTCTGCATCTAGGTCTCTGCTGTCTTTTGGTAGGCACAGTTGCTGTTTTTGGCAGGAGCATCATATTTGGTTTCTCATATGGTTTGTCCCTTGGGCCATCTGGGTCGTGCAGCAAATTTGTTTTGCTTCATCTTATACCAAAGAAAATAATCTCCTGAACAGATCTTGTGGGAGGCATCTTAATATGCAGCAGTCCTTTCATAAATTCACGACTTCTATTCACACTGACATCTGCTTCTCTCACTCAGGACCTTTTCCTTTTGCAAAAAATGGAGAAGGGCAAGCATACAGCCTCTTCTCCCCTTTGTATATAGTTGTATCAAAGCAGTCTCTTTGCTGTGAGGTACTGTGTGCCACATGCCCAAAGAGGGCTGACGAAAGCTTTGCCAGAATTTACCGTTAACTTCTTGCACTGCTGATAAAACTAATTAAATAAAACTAATTTTATCCCTTCCTCAGCCCACCCCAAGCCAGTTTTCTGTGTCATCCATTAGCATTATTTAAGAGACCCTCATGAACACTCTGTGCAGAAAGACCTTTCAGTATTGCCAGAGCAGTGGGGAGCACTCAGAATCTCCAAAGATGTAACAGAAGAGACAAAATGTTTAAGCTTCATGCCTCATCAAGTGCAGTGCCTGAAGCAGAGGTAATTAAAATGCACATGTAGTGGCAGGAATAGACACGTGATTTTCTTATTGGAAATTCAAATGATCCGATTGGGTAATCCGCCCATCGTTTGTCTGAAACGTAGCATGTGCAGTAAACACGATGCAAGGAGCTTGTAAAGTCTGGGAAATGTATGTGATTCATCAGCAGGGCTCCATGAGCAGTTATTTTCTCCCCATAACTGTCTTGAATTACTTCCACCAAAGGCTTGCTTGGACTGCACCATTGCCGTGCTTGTACCTCTTTTAAAAATGAATGGATCAGAGTTCAGCTAATCTGTTGAGTTAGTACATTGCGCAGCTGGGAACTGGCTGCTAGATATGTTTTTAAACAATCATGAAAGAGCAGAAAAACCACGCTACTTGCATTTACAGTGTTTGCAATCTAGATGGACAGAAACAATATATCAACACATTGCAGTTTGACTGTAGATGACTTTCCTTTTGATTTTTGTTTATTAATCGAATGAGTCAATTAAAAGTATGCATCTGTATTAATCTATATTATTCTCCTTTAGGCATCAGGCCACAATCTTATTCTCAATCAAGACCTGTTTTAATGCTTTGACACTTTTTCATGTTTATTCTCTTGTTTGTTTTAATTTGGCTCGCATGCTTAAATGTTTTGTTCTCTGTTGCTGGTTTTAGCTTACTTTTATATTTTGCTTCTTTTAGTCTTTGACCTGGGACCAATGTTTAATCCTGACTAAAGTAAACATAATCAGTGGGGTTTATGTAAGTGTTGATTTGCCACATTCTCACTGATTTGGTGAATCTGCTGTAGTTGGCACTTCGGCTGTAGGACATAGTTTTATTGTGTTATTTCTGTATTTTAAAATATTTGTGGATATTTTTAAACTGTTGCATGCTATGCAAATAACTTTAACTAGTGGATAGTTTTAAATTGCATTAAATAAGAGTACTTGTCTCTCCTTTGTCAATATCGCAGCTGGCAGCTCTGCCATCTGATTATGAAGCCTGAGTCTAGGTTTCACCTAGTTCATATATTTTATTCTTTATCCAGCAGGTTCTGTGACTCAGATTACCTGTCCTTTCCTTTTGTGTCCCATCCCTTTTTCCCAAAATGATCCTGCTCTCATTTGGATGTTGTGTGGGGGAAAAAGAAGTTAAGGTCCAAAATAAATTTGAGAGAGAAAGTACAAAGTTGAAATTTTCAAAATGAGTAGTTCTGAAAACAGGTCACCACTTTCTTCCTTTTGAGTCACTAAATCCAGTTGTTTGGATGTCCTGATTCCTTCTAAAAATAATGCCCAGTTTCCAGCTACTGTTGTGGCATGGCATGCTGAGGAAATTGTCAAGCGGTTTTGGTGCCATTTTTTAAGATTGTTTTTACTTGTTCTTAGTCATATATATGATCTAGAGAAAAGCTAACACTGACAGTATAATTAGCCTCATGGAAGGAATATCCTTCTTTCTGTACCTACCACTCAGGGTTAAACTAAGCAATATTCAAAATACACGTCCTGCAGTTTTAATATCCTTTTCTATTCTATTCTCTAGTGAGTGTTCATGGTAACCAACCTGCATCAAAATTATACAAGTGAGGGAGCTTTAAACCTTCTCACATGTTTTCCTTTCAAAAACTCTGGGGTGTGTCTGTGTTAAAAGTGAGGAACCCCTCAGCTGGAGCACATGGAGTTTCTTCTGGATAGTTCAGTGGTTTGGGTCTCTGGCTGTGGAGCCACAGGTTGGGAGTTCAATTCCCCACTGTGCCTCCTTGACAAGGGCTGCAGTTGATGGTCCATAGGGTCGATTCCAGCTCTGTGGTTCTAAGATTATAATTTCCCATGTTTATTGGGAGCTGCACTTAAAAAAATGGGCTTAAACCTTCTGGCCCCATTCTAAACTGGAGTTATGCATGCTAATACTAGACTGTAGAGATAAGGATATTCATACTCTATTTGTAAATGAATATGAATACTTTCTCTTTTACAGTGTCACTGAAGCCACATGTGACCAGTTTCTTACATTGTTTCATATGCAAATTTACTGGTGGGTGATGGTGACTAAGAGCTGTTATCAGTGACCTTTTGGGAGGGATTCTGTTGGTGAGTTTTTAGAAAATGATGTGTTTACATGAGCTGTTACTTGTGAACAGCTTCATATGTGATGAACATCATCCTGTGAAGTAGAGTGAAAGCACTTTCATGTGACTGCTGTGCAATGTATAGACTAGCTTTGAAAGACCTAAACTCTGAACAGTCTCTTTTGTTTCAGAGACTGTGGTATGTTAGTGGTGGGGTGCTTGTATTTGAGGCCTTGTTTCCTTCTCCTTTTGTTTCTGATAAGCAGCTGACAGCAGCAAGGGCTTGCTTGATGGTTTTGCCAAATTTTTCTTCTCTCCTTCAAATGTAATATCTTTCTTACCAAAGGCTGGTTATGGATAAACTGCGCTAGAGTGGAAAATATATATTGTTTTGGAGCCCATTGATTTACCTGCTTGTTTATTACCCTCAGAGGAAGTGCCTGCACACACAGTCTTAGACTGCTTACACTTCACTCATCATTAGTTTATAGCACTCAGGAAAGGCACTGGGCAACCCAGTGACACTAAAAGCAACCTAACCAGACACTAACATGGAGTGTGATGTCTGTAGTGATGCAGGCAAGCCTCATTGCAGACTAAGGCTGCTTATTTGGAGTAGTGTGCGGTGCAGATGAAATGCCTCCCTGATGGCTTTACTTGCCAGAATATGTTAGTGGTAATAGCTGCCCTTTTAAAGAGTGAGCAGTGAAGCAGAATAGGCCAGAGTCATGGCTTGGGCCTAGTGAATCTGCAATCTTTGTTAAATCTGAGTTTCAGGGCCCAGGGTGGGCAAGGAGAACAAAATGTGAACCAGCTAAGAATAATCTAGAAAAGGCCTTCAGGCTGCGTACAGTGGACCCTCTACTTGAGGAATTAATCCGTATTGGAATGGTGGCTGAAAGTTGAAAAGTCTGTAAGTCGAATCTCCATTGACCTACAATGCACTGAAAACCGATTAATCCCATAACCAGTGGTTTTTATTCTATTTTTATTCCATTTTGGGTTTTTTCTGGTCTGTAAGTCAATTCTCTGGCTGCAAGTCGAATCTAAATTTTGCAGCCAGAGAAGTCTGTAACTCGAAAAGTTTGTAAGTCGAGCCGTCTGTAAGTCGAGGGTCCACTGTATAGGTAGAACTGGAAAAAAGGCAAGAAGGTCATTGACCCTGGGCCTTGCTTGCCTTCCAGTCACTGTGGCTTGCTGGGGCGCCATAAGAGGAAGGCGTGTCAGCAGTTCAAGCAGGGTTTAGAGCAGGAGAACCTCAGGTGAAGTGAGGCAAGACAAAGCTTCAGACAAAAGAGGGTAAACCTTCAGCAGAGGTGAGACAGAATAAAACAGAGCTTCAGGGAGGTGAGGCAAGGCTTCAGATAAAGTGAAGAGTGACAGAGCTTCAGGCAGCACAAGGTTCCAAGAGTCTGCAGAATAACTACCCTCGCTGACATGTTGTTCAGACTGGTGAGCCAGGCCTTAAGGCATCAGTTATATAAGGCCAGCAGGAGCCTCATTGGTTCCACGTATCGCCTGATCTGCCTGAACTGCATCAGTCTTCTCAGTGTGGAGTGGTGGTTTCGCAATAATAATAATAATACTAATAATAAAAATCAGGCCAACGTCTCTGCTGCCATTGAGCTAGGCTTTTACAGTTGGAAGGGTAAATGGAAATCTGGGCCCTGCTGGCAGAATTTGCAGTTTGATTGGTGTTTCTGGCATCTTGCTCCTGATTCTGGGTTTAGGAGGTAAATCCAGTTACTTGTCTGTGCCCTAAGGAATGGGATCACCTTTGTTGGCAAGAGGCCTTGAAATTATTAAGGGAGAAGATTATACTCTTAGGTATATATTTGCACACTGTGAAGTATATCCAGTCAGCCTGTCTTACTCAAGAGTGGGTGGTTAAAAAATAATAAAGACTTAAGATGCTTTTATTCCACCAGTCTTCTAGTGTACTCTGCTCATACTATGTATGGTCTTTACTTCATCTTGCAGTTACTTGTCTTTTAAAAGTACTAAAATTTTAGTGTTCTTCATGGCTTCTATGTATTCACACAATGGTTGTTCTGCACCTGTGCAGACAATCCTTCGGAACGTTCCAAAGCCTTAGCTGAATTATGTTATATACTGTATTGTGATTTTGGCCTCTTGTGGGTACATGACCTTTTTGAGAAATTGAATTGGTTTCTTCCCCCCTACACACACACACTTAATGATATAAAATTTGTAACTACTGTAACTCTCTGTGTTATGGCTAAACACCCTTCCAGAAAAAATGGCAGTCTGGGATACTGAAAAAACTAAACATGCTCAAATCCATAGGGCAAAAATAGTAGCAAGGCCAATTTGGGATATTGCAAATATTGCAAATCCTGTACGATTACCACTGAGAAACAATTCCATCTGTTGGGCTTGGTGTGTAAGCTGTAATGTTTGTAAACAATTTAATACATTGGGTCTGATTTCTAAAAATAATGACTTAAAATTTTGACTTGGGAAAATTACAGTTTTGAACCATGTTTGGAGGTAGATGGAAGACATTCAGTGGAACTTCCTTCTAAATACACCTGTTAAGAATTATGGTGTTAGGAAGTAATAGAAGTGGACATTATTGTAAAATAGATAGACACTAGCATTAAATCAGGCATTGTTCCTATCCAGATGTCTAGCAATCCTGATACAGTACTTGCTCCAGTTACATCAAGATCATTCACACTGACTCTCCTTTGTGCTTCCAACACTGTGTGTTTGTAACTGGAGCAGACAGTATAAACTTTGCTCTGCCAAGATGGCTGCTGTCCCAAATTCTAGATTTAGGTTGGCTTAAGATTTTGTTTTGGTGAAAAGGCTGCTCTTCTCCATAATATGCAAAGATTACTGTAATCCACTTAGAACAGTTGGTGACCAACAAAGCCGTAGTTCTCAATTAGCCATCATACGTTTCTTACTTTGGTGGGTGTTAGATGACTAGTTGTTGTTTTAAATTATAACAAAAGCTGGGGGGGGATATTACTAGGCAGCCTATGCTTAGATCTGTACCTTCTTATAATCTTATACAGTAATTAGATTTAGATGTAGATACAAAGTGAGAAAATCTGTTTATTTGTGCATATGGGCAAATCATGAAACTGTTGTATGTTATTTATATATTATTTGTTGTTTACCTTTGTGAGAGATTCTAGGCTTTTCCATAGAGTTGCTTTTGTCCTAATAATATGAGCTCAGCACTATTCTCATACCTCTTGGCAGACTCTGGAGAAGGGTCCACCACCGCCTGCTTGCAGATTCATTGAGCCTATTGCAATGCCATCAGCAGCTTCTGAGAGGAAAAAGATGGTGGAAAAAGATGGAAGAAGTATCCAGGATCAGATCCTGTCAGTCTCCAGCAACACCTCTCTTCCTGAAAATATCATGGGTCTAACTGTGATAGGGAATAGATTATTAGTCAAAAGCTATCATGGTAGGCATTCAGTGAAAACTTAGAAGGCTATTTTCTGTTCTCTATCATGACTTATTTTGGAATGGTGGAACGCAATGGAACAAGAATTATGCAGTCAGAAGGGCATTCAGTGAAAAATATTCATCAGAACAGTTACGTAATGGTTCAATATGCTTTCCACCCACAATCAATATTGGTTTTATGTTGTTTCTTTTAGGTAGTGATTCCTGTTCTTCGCTGTCTCCAGAATGTAGGAGAAGATCAGTGTTGCAGGCAATGAAAGTTGCCAGATGAAGTTAAGACTTTTTTGTCTGCTTTGGTCGACAATAGTTCTTGCAGAATTAAAGCCAGCTAAGTGACTCGCCACACATTATTTCGACAAAGGATGCATCTGGCTCAGTTGTGAACTAGTTTACAGTACTCCCTATTCATTTTTGTTAAAGGTTAACAAAACTGTTTAGACAACTTTAATGGCTGTTCATCAGTCTTTGGCTTGAAGTTGATTAATGGGGCTCATTTCTGCAGTGAATTCTTTAATTGCTCCTTATTTACTAGAGGGAGGAGGCAGGGTATAATTTTGATGAAGACAGCTGTCTGGAGTGTTCATTCACCTTGTAAATTTAGCTGGTTTTGGGATACCTCTCATATATACATATGCCTACTTGCTGTTCTGTATCTTTTCCATACTGGTGTGTCACACTGGAAACATGTAATTATTATTTGCATGGGATATATGAGTTGCAGGAATTCCTGCCTTTTATCTATCAAATAACCAAGATGTGCTTTGAAAGGTTGCTGGCTAGCATGTAAATTTCATGTTTAACATACTTCATTCTTCATTTCATTACAAATAAGTAAATTCATGCAGTTGGAAATCAAGTCTTCTGCATTTCCTATCATTTACCCTCTTCTCTTTTTTTCCAGCAACATGATTGCAAGCCCATTTCTTCTTTGAACATAATTTGAACATTTGATTTGAACATTAGGACCCACTTGTTTGTCTCTCTAGCAATCCAGGGTACCTGCAAAGCACCACAATTCAAATGAATAAATTTTCTTTGTTTCATCTTTCTTAACTGTTCTTCACACCCATACATAGTGATCCAAAATATAAGAATGTGGATGATCTTGGTCTTGTTCTTCATTGACACAGCCTTACATCTTTTCTAATTCCTTCATTTTTGCGCTTATGAGTGGGAAGGAGGAGAACTGTGGGGGCAGAGAGATAAGCAGAGAGAGCAAACTGGCTTGCTTTTTGGGCCCAGGCCTAATGAAAGGACAAATCAAAAGGGTCAATATTCATCATTTCTTATTCATCTGTGACTCCAGAATTTACGAATCCCGTTGTATCACTCTGGAGCTCGTGATGGATTAGCCACTCCTGGTAGGAGGCAGGACAAGCCTTTCTGCCAGGTCAAAAGTGGCTCGCCGATCGCGAGCTGCGGAGTGATAGGATGGGATTGTGGAGCCTGAGGCAGTGGTGGATTGGTGAGTGGATTGTCCGGTACCATGGGGCCAGACCTTCGTTATATCTACCTGTGCAGAGGTATATACGAATACTCCCATCTCTAGTGATGAATATTACATGAATCAGTGCGTTCTGACTAATATTGTGATTAATTTTTTAAGTTCATCCCCATGTCTAGTGTATGTACTTATATATCAAGGGCAATGATATTGCCTATAGGACTTCTAACTTTCTGAGTCTTCTAGTGCATTAAAGAATGTAAGACCTTGTAAATATAAGTATTTGTAACTTATTTCAACCTTGAGACCAGTCTAGCTATAATACGAGATGTAAAGAAACATAAGACTTGTCCATGAAAACTCACATTAGAATATAGTAGGTAGTCTTTAAGGTGCCACATATTTTTGCCTTTTTTTTAAAAAAAAATTGTTTTGTTTAGTTTATTTGGATTTTTCCCGATTTGTTTGCACAAACTAACATGGCTTACCTCTTCTAAAACTGCAGTACTATATTTGTATATAGAGTTTGGGACATTAACATATATTGCAACTGTACCTGCAATCTACTTTTGCTAGCTAGACAATCTTGAGATGTGTTCACTGTTCTGCAGTGCTTCACTGTGAGCAGTCAATGAAATTGGAGGCATACCAGATACTCTGACTAGGGAAGGGTGACTCTTCTTTCTCTTGGATACAAATACAAAGGAGGAATATTGTTTGAAGATTGCCAAAGTGTTTTGAGGGCATGCAAGAATTATGCAGTAGAAAAGATGATATGCGAAATTAAAAGGAATTGAGTCTTTTGATGAGGGAAATATTTATCTGTCAGCATAGGTTAGGTGTTGGTTGTAAAACACTGGTCTGGCAAGTCTAGGGTAAGAGCTGTAGGCATAGTGGAAACTGCAAACCCAAAATATGCTGTAGAATCATCCAGACAGTTCTAAAATTGCATCTTAATATCATTGCAAAAAAAGAGACAGTTTAAAGTATGAAGTTGTTTGCACAGTAAAACAAGTGAGTGCTGAAGTATGAAGAAGAACTAGAGGCCACCATATGGAAGTTAAACAATTATAGGGGTTTGACAAATTGTGTGGAAAAATGTCTTTCTGTTGAAGAAGCAACACGGACAAGAGGCAAAGTGGAAGAGTATGGGAGATAATGAGAGTCTGAGACTGGTGTATTAAGGTTTTGGAAATCACACGAATCTGTTTTCTACAAAAGAAGGTGGGATAGAGGTTTATAATCCATTCTACACTCGATGTACTATGAGTTTATGATCAAATTTTGTTCAAGGAAGAAGTGGGCCTGTAAGTGTGCTATTGAAAAAAGAGAAGAGAGGAAGGCAGAAGACTGACTTCCAACTCCATGAATTCACTTATTTGTCATGAAAGGAAGAATAAAGTTTGTCAAAAGTGAAATTTACGTTCCAGCCAGCAACCTTTAAAAAGACATCTTGACTGATTTGTTAGAGCATTTGTGTTCAAGTCCTTCAGTGAACCACATTCTGGGTCCCTATACCACATTTGCTATTGTGATGCTAAGCCTGCATCGCTGTGCAGCTGCAGATGAATAATGAAGATATGTGTCGATGTAGTTGTCTTGGCCACTGTCTAAAATCTTCTATAGTATAGAGCCTGTAGGAATTCCTATATTCTCTTGCTGTGTGAGACACAAATAATATGAACTCATTTAAAATGACTGAATAACTACTGTGTGGTTGGTTGTCAAAGAGGAAAAATGGCTGTATTTGGAACTGCACAACAAAGGAGCCTCTGGATTAGGCATGTGCACTGTTTTTCAACTAATGTGCAAAACTGGACTGGATTGGGATATTTGTTCACTCTTGAGGTGGAGCAACACTGTAATGGATCCTTCATGTTCTGTGTGGCATTGACAAAAAGATGGGCAGTGATTTTAATTGTAGAAATGGGAAAGCAAAAATAATGTAATAAATGGAGACGCTGGTGCCAAAATAAAAAGCAAGTGATAGCTGAACTTCCAATAAATCTGAAGAGTAACTGGGACCCTCCAGCCAGTGAAGTTCTAGGGAGGGCTTAGACTGAGGTCACAGCACACCCCTTACAGCCACTCCACAAGCCGTTTCTTGAAGCTCCAACGGTTTTAAGTTTTGGATACATATCTCTTTGGGTAAGCTTTCCTTGCGCAGTCCAGTTACTGGGCCGCACAGGGAAGGAATAATTTCTGATCTTCACAACTTCCAGATAACCTCACCTGGATGACTGAGAATCTTCACAGATACATTTCTGATCTTGTGTGTCGTGCTTATCTTACATTTTTACAGTTTTTATACACTGCTTTGAAATAGTCAGATGTCAATGGTTTATAAGTATTCATAAATAAAATAAATAGAAAGTTGTTGTGTCGTACACTATCATGCTTGTTCTGTGCTCACTTAGGCCTGCAGCTCTGCCCACTCTAGGTCTCATAATGACTTGCCGCTGGCTGAAGCTCATCAATTCCTTTTGCTGTGGGTCAGTGGGCCTTCATAGGAAAATCTTTTCTCTAGTCTATGTAAGCCTAATACTATTCTATCCCAATTCACAGCTGCTCTGGCCATTGGGGGAAAATGGATTCTGACTTCTGCTTTCAGAAGTGGGCCTACCTTAATTATAAGCCTTGATTTGTGCAGCAGATTGACTCAATAAATACTAATGATTCTGGGTTGCTGAGGACCTGTAAGTTTGATCTTCCTGTTACTGTTTCTCCTTAAAAGCTGAAATCCAAAAGCTGATTTTAACAAAGGGCACTGGCGGGTGGGGAGAGATGAAGGGAAAGACAAGCAGATCCTGGCCACATGTAATCAGCATGTTATTACCATCCTCAGGAAGTGGGAATAGTTTTTTTTAAAAAGAAAATAAAAGAAAGTAGATTGGAGCAGGGAAAGTTAATTATGGTGAAGTATTTGACAGGAAATTACAAAATATAGACAGACAGAAGAAGCACACTTTTAGAACAGGCAAGGAAATCTCCAGTTACTCCATGCTGTGTATTCAAAACCCCCCAAGCAAGAACTGAAAGTAGTGCTTTAAACAAAAGCCATGTTATCTGATAAAGACATTTTGAGCACAAAGGGAAATTTATATATTAGGCCCGCAGTCTTCAAATAAACAGATCATCTTGATTATGCCGTGAATTTAATTGTGGGAAAAAAAACCTTTTTCATTTGAATGACCTGCTGATGCAGTAAACCCTTCTTATAAACTGTCTTGAGTTTATTTAAAAATTCATGTGCATGAGCCTGCACGCACACACACTGTTCTATTCTTGTAAACATTCTTTATCGCTGTTTTGCAGAAATTGTAAGGTAGACTTATGAATGTAGGCTGAAGCTGATAAATATGTGCATATTTTAAAAGCTGCTATGTGCAGCTGATATAATTCATTTCATCTGGTAGCATATGTAGACAGAGCAGCGGGTTATCCATGTTGAGAGTAAATGTAAACAGAAAAGCAGCATTTTATGGGAGGCGGAATTTCCATGGCTTGGTAGAGTTTTGCCAGACTTATCATGCTGCTATCGTTTCATTGTTAGCTTTGCAGTGTCCTGCTCTTTAACATTCACCATGTCTGTCTTGTTATCCTTCTATAAAGGAGGACTACTCCCTTTCCCATGTTACCTATTTATGAGAGGGATAGGAAGAAATGATGGGTGTCTGCTTTCTATTGATTTGTTCTTCTGGTCTGCCTCTGTTTTCTGACCTAGAGAGAACAGTGCCCAGAAGAGATAGTGGGGCAGGAGGAGGAGATGAAGGGCTGTACACACACACTGGTTCTAGTAAGTGGTGTGTGATGTCTATCTTCACATGAT